TTACGCGAAAGCATCGTCTATGGGTTTCTGTTCTATCAAACTGTTGAAACGGGCATTAGGAACATGTCATTCTAGTACATTAGATGGAGTATGGAAAGCATGCATGAAGAAGTGGTATGCTTTTGACACGATCGCATTACAACAGGTCTTTTGCAATGAAAACTACTCTGTACAATTATTGTCAAAATGCATGACCGGATGTGGTAAGGTTCCAAAATCGTTATAATATTTTTAACTTTGGCCTACTAAGGTTTGGCCAGGGCCGGGTGTCAATCGGGTTATTCCCTCGCCTCCCCCCAAAAAAACAACATACATAAAAATTAGAAACAAAATTGACGTTCATTACATTTGACCGAATAATCACTAACAGAAAATTCAAGTTTTACTTTCTGCTTTCAATGCTTATCCCCAACTTCGCAAACCCTAAGCCCCACCTTCCCTGTTGTTCTCTGAATCCCCGACTTACAGCGGGCGTTCATTGTTTTTTTTTGTTTGTTTGTTTGTTTGTTTGTTTTTTATAACTAAACAAATTATTAACTGTATCTTTCAGTTCCGCGTTAGTTGCCACAAAGATCAAGGCTTAGATGCCATTTTCAATTACCCGGATTCGGCTGTTTTTAATTTCGAGTATTACTGGGGAGCCCAATACCCAGCCGGGGTCGAACATCTGGCAGGGTACCTATGCATCCCTAATATACATATATACAAGTATAACCGTTTATGTTGTTTTATTATACATTAACATTAAGATGTGTCTTTTCTCATCTTTGTTCCAAATAAACTACGTTCTTCTACCTTAATGTGCGTGGGGCAATAATTGCCCAAGGATAAAAGGTGGAAACATTAAACTTTTTATTGTCTTCCTTTAGACTTACCGCTGAGCCACTAGGGGACCCCTGTAACGTATATTCAAAAGACATTTCAAATACCTTGCTATTTTTTCTTTCATCTTACAATAAATACATCATTAATGGATGCGTACAAAAAGATTATGTATTTTCATAACTTTTCATCAAGATCACATATCATAAAATACTTTTACTTAAACTTTAAAACACATTTTAACCAACTGTTTTCATTTCGTACCAGGGAATTTTTACTACCAAACCCATGGTTTATGTGTGAATTTTTCTGTTTCTTTTTCTTTTTTAAACTTGCGAAAAACTACTCAAGGAGTATATTCACTAGCTATCCCTAATTTGAACTGTGAGACTAGAGGGAAGGTAGCTAGTCAACAGCACTCACCACCAACTCTTTCGATTTTACTGTCACCTTTATAACGCACCCATGGCCGCAAGATATGGAGAAATTGCTCTTCGTAAAGTTTGATGACCATTGGACCACGTTCTGCCCTTATGTCCAATTACTAGATGAGAAATACTGATGGAATGTATAAAATCTAGATGACATAAAAAATTGACTATATTTCACAATGTATGTTTAATTATCACGGAAATTGTTTAGAAAGGAAATCTTAAAACTACAACTGAAAACTGTTTTATACAACTCGTAAAGATGTGTATGTAAGAATTCCACTTAATCATAAGCGGAATAAACTGACTTTCAAACGTCTAGAAAACATTAACCGTAATTGTATATCTTCTATCTTTAACCTGTGAAATATGCTTATTATTTTTAAGTTGTTTTTTTTTCATTTTGTTGACTGTTTTTTTAGATTCTTTCAAACATACGGGTTAAAAAATAATTATTTGTTTTCTTCCGAATAAAGTAAATTACTTTTACAGTAATTACACCTCGTTAAAATTTTTTTTTTTTCGTTTCAAAAAGTCACCCTTATGGTGAATTTTAAATATAAATTTGATTAAGTGTAATAAGTGTAAAGTTGTGTTTGGTGAAATTTGTACTATTCTGAATGAATTGTTTCTTTGTATTTTACTGTCTATTCTATTAAATAATAAAGTTTTAAAGTGTTGTTGTTTATTCACCTTTTATAATCATGAAAAAATCATCGTTTTGTGAAAAATGTTAAAAGAGTTATATTTTTATAGACATGTTAAGATTTATGTAATTCGAATAATTTATTTTGCACTATATAAGAAATAGGGTTGTTTTTTTTTCATTGCTGGGATCATTTCACAATTAGAACGAAAAACTCATAGCCGGTATACTTAAGTTATTCAATTTCAAACATACATTAACAAGAGAAACAATTACTTTTAATCTGCGTTTCGATTATAACTGAAATACAATCTTTTATTAATACTAATTACTTTTATAAAAAATAATTGTTTCCATTTCCATCTCGATATATAATCATTTTAAATATATCTATATAACTTATAACACTTAAAAATTATTATATCTTGTCTATAGTGTGTGTGTGTGTACACATATTCTGTTTTTGCTTTTTACATGCACGTGATGTGTGTTTTTCTTGAAGAATGTGCACTCACTTCTAGAAACATATTTATAAAAAAATCAAACTTTGTTGTTGTTTTTACCTATTTTACTTACTATTTTCTAAGAGTACTAAAACGTCAAAGAATTATTCTAAAACATTTTAGACCCAACCCTCACCAAAAACTCATCTATGTTATTGATTATAAATTCACAAATCTTTTTATATGCTGATTTCTAAACACGTTTCCGCTCTCTCGGTTTTCTTCTTTTCCTTTCTTTTTTGAGAAAGCGGTAGTAAAGGTCTAAAGTCTAAACACTCTCTTGAAGAAGGTTTGAGTTCTTTCAGCTTCAGAGAAAACTTAAGAAAGTTCCAATTGTGTTGCCATGGAGAAGGCGCGTGCTTTTCACATCTTACAGCTTATCGGTATCTCCAAGTGAAATGTCTTTTGCTTGTAACTCATTGATTGTCTGATTCTTGGAAGCATTTCTCAGACAGAAATGCATTTCTCTGAAGAGTTATTACCGACACTTCAAATGCATTTCACGAGTTACACTAGTTTAAGAATGATGCCTTACTTCTGAAACATTCGTCTTCATTATCCATATATATATATAGAGAGAGAGAGAGAGATACAGACACAGAAGGAATGAAAGTATTGGTGTTTATATATATATACACACATACATACATACACACATACATAAAGAGATTAACCTTAAATTCGTTAAATTTGATTACCAGTAGCTATATAAATTCCTTTTTAACATTTAATCATTAGAAATGTAAAATTTGAGTAATTTAACAGATCCATTTTACATTTATAAACAAAATGTGTCTTTCTCTGAACAATGTTTATATATAACATTTTAGTTTAATATTATAATTATATGGATTACTACCTTTAGTAATACATTTATTCATGTTTCACCCACTGTAGAGCTTATAAAAACAACAAATTACTTAAGGTGCATGAATGCTTTAAATCTATTTCTAATTAGGGTCTTTACATAGCGTTAGTGGTTTTGAAAACTTCCAACTCACAATAACGGTATGTACGAAGGTTTAATTGATGTAACAGTTTATTGTTTAATTATTCAGCTGTATATTGAAAATTCAAAACTTGGCAAGTGCTGAAACAAAAGAATTTAAAATGATATGTAAAAATAGAATTGTGGAGAGCTTACAGAGTGTCGGTGATTATATACATATTTTTCTCTTTATATAAACCAAAAGAATGATTAAACAGCAGCATTATAAATAATTCTAAAATATACTTGTTTTATTACCCAATAATGTGTTTCTCATTTCAGAAATTAAGAAAATATATATATTTTTTTAGTTTCTAGATCAGTATTACTTTTCCTTAATGTGATTAAATGCTTAAATCATTGACCAATGTTTCATAGAATAACTTTCTGATAAATTCACATCTTCAGAATTATGAAATAGGAAATCAATCGAGGCTTCCAACCCACGTCTTCGTTAACCCGACGCATATTCTACTTGGTTTCACATATGTTTTCACTGATATGTTCTGTGTGTATTTATAAAAACTATCATTTCAAATACCGTTATGGAAGTTCACTTATATCACTTCAATGACAAAACACAATTAAGATTAAAATAAACGGTTTGCTTAAAACACTTTGAAAAGTGGCACGGTAATTAAATTTTCTATTCTTTGATCCCGTCAATCTTGTTCGTTATTAGAGTGTATTTTACAGTATTTACAAGTTGATACTCAGCAAAGCATAATTAAATAGAGAAAATAAGTAATCCTGCACTATTTGGTTGGTTATTTCTAAAATTTTATAAAAGTGATATAAATATTTTCGCAAATTATTTTCCCTCTTAGTGGCCCCAAAGATTGATCCCTTCACCTTTAAAAGTGATCTATCTGAAGGGTCTCGAGCAGCAATTTCGTGTGTTGTTGTTGCTGGGGACAGTCCAATGTTCGTCAAGTGGTTCAAGGACGGACATCAGTTGGCTGACGGTGACCACGGAGCGTCCATAGTTGTAGCAGCTGAGGGTTATGTGTCGACATTAACTTTAGACAACTTGTCTCGAAGATTCAATGGTAATTACACATGCCGAGCGTCCAACGCTGTGGGCACAGATTCTTACAGCGCATACCTGGAGGTTAAAGGTGAGCCTTGAAAAACTGAAAATCAAAGTTAAAGCTTTGAGTATAATTTTTATTTTTTCGTTGCCAATTGAAAATCTGCGTTTGTCCTTTAACAATCGTCTGTTTGTTTTAGCTGTCAGCAAATAGCATCAAATTAATTTGTCTTTAGTTATGTGTGTGTGTGTGTGTTTTGTTGTAGAAAAGCCACAATGGGCTATCTGCTGTGTCTACCAAGGAGAATCGAACCCCTGATTTTAGCGTTGTAAATCCGAAGACTAACTGCTGTCCCACCGGGGGACTTTTAGTTATTACCAAGCAACTAATGATATATGTAATTATGTCAACCATGAAATCCATGTTATATTTGAAAAAAAAAATACCTGGATGTAGTAATTAAACTCTAAACTTACATGTCGATCAGCACTTCAAAATTAAGGACGACAACAGATAGCCTTAGTAGCTGTGCTATAAAAAAATAATACGCTAAGACTTTGTTATAAATAACAACTTCTAACATATTTAACGTCCCAACATAAAATGAATCATCCTAATGTCAGTTGTTAGCAATAGATACAAACTTTTAGACAGACACAGTTTCATTTAGGTTCTAAATCAGATTCAGAATAATTCAATCACAACGCAACGTATCATTTTATATTATCAACTAGTTTTCTTGTAAGTACAATGTTGTTATAGGTTCTAAAAATAAAATAAAACATGTGTCTCGGTTTATGATTGTAGCACCACCTCATTGGACGAAACCTCCAGTCGACTCTAGTCCTGTTTTGGGGAGATCTATGGTGTTACATTGTCAGGCAGAAGGATATCCAGCGCCGCACATCCGCTGGAAAGTGGCAAAAGGTGATTATCAATTAATTTGCAAAATTCTGCAACCTTAACAATGTTTTTGGAGAGTGTTTTGATTATTAAACGTTCGACATTACCAAGTCGCTTTTGGAGAGTGTTATGATTATTAACAATTTGGCAATACAAAATTGCTTTTGGAGATATATATGATTACTAAACATTCTGCTATATCAAATCATAAAAACTTACAATACATCATGAAATATTTTTCATTTCTACATGCAATTAAATAATGAAATAACTATATCGTAAATGCAGTTTTGTTTTTGACAAAACTATTGGATGCCTTAAGGGATCAAAACCTTCTCTAAACCAACACAGGAGGCTGGACACTATCCTAATGAATCATTACTTCTCACCTAAATCCTCTGTTAAACAACAAGTAAGTACATGTTTAGTTTGTATTAATATTCGTAAGAGGTGAACACAGTAATGTCAATAGTGATAATATATAAAAATGGGACGGGCCATGGAGAACCCACCCCCTCTCCCCCAATAGGCATACTAGATACATAAGTCAATATCTAACTTTAACTATTACTCCTGATGATGCTAACGTAGAACTCCACCGAAATATTTAGTCTTTTTAGGGTTGTGCTCTGTTCTTTAATAAATTATATTTATTGTGCAACCATTTAACGTTGTACATATTCTGTATATTTTACCTACGCACAAGTGCCGTTTAACTTATTTATTTCATACTAATTCTGTTGTGTTTCATGAGGTTTTTTTTATAAGGATTATTATCTTTCATATGTATTCATAACGATGATGGATCATTTAAGCATTCGTATTTAATGCTAGATAGATGCAACGATGATGCGAGTATGATTTAATCACGAAGAAAATTTTGTTTCACTTGTAATTTCGTTTATATTTATTGAGAAGTGGGTTCTCTAAGAGCAACACTGTATATCACGAAAACTTCCAAAATATAACATGCTATAATTTGAAGAACATGAAAAACAGTAGTTTTGTTGTAGCTTTAGATTCCACATGTGTGATTGGAAGTGTTAGAGTGCCCGATCCCATGATTCTAGGTTCGAGTCTCGTTGCCCAAGAAATGAGCTCCGAAATATGTAGTCACAGGCCAAGAACCTAGTATTTGGTTAAACAAAAGTGGCCAAACAGTTAGCTGCGGGTGCTGTTGAATAGTCTATCAGTTCATACTTAAGGATGGATGTGCTCAAATAACCCTTATGCAGCTTTGTACGAAAACTGTGAAACAAAGAAACAGATTTAGCACATATTAGGACAATTAGCAATATTAGTAAACTAACGAAATTGGTGATCCTGAATTGCATTTATTTGAAAAAAATTTTAAAATACACTATAGACTTTCTAGCATGATTATAATTATCAACCTGCGGGTAGAACTTATTATCTGACATATATTCAATGTGTGGCAGATAAGTTTCAAATCTTGTTACTCTATTTTGTTTACATGACATTTTAATATTTCATTTAGGGTCAAAGTTATAAACTAGGAACTTTACCCTTGGAACAATGCAGTTCAAGCTCCTTATATAAAACATTTACTTGCACTAAATCTGGAAAATAAAAATGACAATGGTAAACAAACATAGGCGTAGCTCAATAAAACATGACATATTATCGCTAATAAATTATAAAAAATAATAATAATATAATGTTATTATATATTAGGTCATCAAGAAATAAATGCTGCTTTTTTAGATGAAAAAACCCGAACAACTTATATATTAAAACAAAACACTTATTCCGAGCACAAATAGCCCGTTGTGTAGCTTTGTGATTAGCAACGAACAAATACTTCGGATATGTAGCAGCATTTTGATAAATTTGTTCAGAGTAAACACCAGAAGAAGTTTTACTGTAAATAAGGGATTGGTTTATTATTTTTT